ATCAGACGTTGAAAAGGCATTCCTCCAAGTACACCTGCACGAAGATGATAGAGATTTCACCAGATGCCTATGGATCAAAGACTTCACGAAACCATTGACAAACGAAAATCTGGTTGTCTACAGATTTAGAAGAGTAACATTCGGAATCAACGCTTCACCGTTCCTGTTGAGCGCAACAATACATTTCCACCTAAACAACCACGTCAAAGACAAGGCACTGGCCAACGAAATTGCTTCCAATCTTTACGTTGACAATTTGATTGTAAAAGCAAAAACAACTGCGGAAGGAATCCAGAAGTACAAAGATTTAAAGTCGATTTTCAACGATCTCAAAATGAATCTCAGAGCATTCGTCACCAACAATCCTGAAATCATGAAAGTCATATCCACATCAGATCGATCTGCAAATGTTACACCCAAAGTACTTGGGATTCCCTGGAACTCAATCGAAGACGGATTTACTTTACATGTCGACGTAAGCAAGGACAAGCTCATCAGCAGACGCACAGTTGCGCCAACAAATCGCGTCTGTGTACGATCCATTCGGATGGTTTATTATCCCACTTTTTGATCAGAGCAAGCATTTCCAACAACTTTTATGGAAAGATCGCTATGACTGGGATGATGAACTAAGTGAAGAACACAAACAACAGTGGAGATCCATTGTTGAAGAAATGTCCAATTTCCAGAAAGTGTTACCAAGAAAAATCACACAGGATGGAATAACATCGTACACATTAGTCACATATTCTGATGCTAGTGGAATAGCCATGACAGCATGTACCTACCTCACTAGCGACAGCACTTCTAGCCTTTTGATGGCAAAATCAAAAGTAGCAAGCAACCAGCAGAAAGCTACAATACCGAAAATGGAGATGAATGCCATAACTATTGGAGCACGGTTAACGCTCAACATCCTCTTGAACCTTGAAGGCTCTGTGAGCATCAAGAAGATAATGTTTCTTACCGACTCAGAAATAGTTTTGAAGTGGATTCAAAATTTCCATAATCGCTGCAAAACGGGAGCATACGTCAGAAATCGAGTCCGCGAAGTGTACAATATTACACAAACATTATCAAATATGGACATAGAAGTGAAGTTCGGCTACATCGATACGAAGTGGAACCCAGCAGATGTAGGGACAAGGGGAGCATCTTCTCAGGAATTGTTGTCCCATGTGTGGTGGGAAGGTTATCCGCTCAAAACCATCATTGAGAAAGGTTTCTCGTCTTCCCTCTTCAAGCTTCCAGAAGAGTCAGGAAAGGAAGAAGAAGAAGAAGAAGACAGTTGTTCATTAACAGCGCAAATGTATACCACAAACGCGCAGGAAAGCAACGTCAACGAAATCCTTGACCTTGCCAGATACAGCAGTAAGACAAAAGCACTGAGGATCCTGGCATACGCCATTCGATTCCTCAAAGGCATCACTTTCGCTCTAAGGAGCCCACTTCGCGACAAACTACGAAAAGAACTGTCTTGTATCAAAGAACCTAATCAAGGACATCACCTCACAGTATCTGACATCCAAGAAGCTCATAACGTGTTGGTCAGAAATCACCAAGCAGTTCATCTATCTTCACACTACAAAAAAGAACTTTCCAAGACACTCAATATAAAAGAAGACAGGAAAAACCTCTTGCGAGCATATGGACGATTGAACAAATCCGACTTGAGCAGCATGGCAAAAAATCCAATTTTAATCGCGCCCCACACCGAGTTCAGTCGACTTATTGTGCTCGAAGCACATGGAAAATATCACAACAGTGTTGGACACACAATGGCAGAGGTACGTCAACAATACTGGATACCACGGCTCCGCGAACAAGTGAAGAAATGTATTCCGGGAAGCTGCAATATCTTGCCAAAAAATGAATAATCTACCGTATAAGTATCCAGAAATGACGGATCTCCCTGAATACCGAGTAAGAAAGTCCCGGCCTTTCCAGAATATAGGGCTGGACTATTTTGGTCCACTTACGATCCGTAACGAATCACAAGAGCTCAGAGAGGCTTACGGGTGCATATTCACGTGCTGCGTTACCCGACTTATACATCTTGAAGTCGTGTCAGATGGAACTACGGAAAACTTTCTAAATGCATTCCGTCGACATTACGTGCGGCTCGTCTGATGGAAAACCACGACAGTTACCTGTGATAATTGCCGCCAAACATTCTTGCTGGAAGATCAAATCCATAAAAACGACCTCGATCTGCAACTACCACTACAAACGATAGCGAGTTATCCAGCATCATGAGCAGTCAGTTGATTGAATGGAAGCATATAACACCCTACTCACCATGGAAAGGAGGTTTTTATGAACGCCTCATCAAAACGGTGAAACAATCCTTAACCAAAGCAACAGGAAGACGCATTCTAACAATGGAGCAGCTATAGCACATTCCTGATCGCAAATCGCCAGGAGCATTAAATAGCAGACCCCTCACCTATCAAGAAAGTGAAATCAGCGACGACATAGTGCCTTTGCGCCCCATCGACTTTATACAACAAGAGATGAATGTTACACTTCCGATGGGATTCACCGACGAGGATCAAGCAGATCCAAGTTATCTACCAGCTTCCGAAGCATTACGCCTAGAGACGAGAATGCAAGCACAGAAAGCATTGAAATCATCACATGATTTACAGAACGCTTGGGAGCTATGGAAAAACCAATACCTAACAGCTCTTCGCGAACAGCACCGAAGAACCATCAATTAGTAAAAGAGGAAACGCCAAAGGATATTCGAGAAGGTGAAATTGTTCTTCTGTGTGAAGCACACCAAAAAAGAAACACATGGAAACTAGCTCGCATCGACAAGGTGATTCCAAGTAGCGATGGAGCCGTTAGGGAGGTGGAAGTATACTGCAACAGAAAGACTCTCCGAACTGCCCTGTAAACCAAATTATTTCCCCTTGGAGATCACCAGAAAAGCCAGTGAGCGAAACTCATGGGAAGAAAAATCAACAAAAGAGCATCAAAAAACACCACAAAACCCTAATTTGCACTATAACCTACGCTCGAAAAGATCAACAGACAGAGCAAAAGAAAGCCAAGAAAGCCAACCAATTCAAACCGATGTGAATCACCTCACATCACAACCTTTACCCAAAGCATCAAAGCGTTGGCCATTATTGATATGCCTGCAAATAGCACTGACTTTAAGCATGATATCTGTTATAAATGGAGAAAAAGCCATTATACAGCATCAAAGCACTGAAGCATTACAAATGCAGCCACCCTCGATGTTTCTTTTGTTGAAAGATCTCAGTTTCAGAGAAATGGATTCAAGAGAGCATCATGACGACACCAGAAAAAAGAGACAGGCGGAAGAGAGAAAGCTAATCGAAGGAAAATTCGCTATAGGAGATCGTGCGTCCGTCTAGCTGCTAGCTTCCCGTCAGAAAATGAGATCCAAAGAAAGATTCTCAAATTTGTTAGGCTGATAATCTTGATTGTAAAAAATAATGTGCTCGCTAACGAATTTCGCCGAATTACGGGGAACCAAAGACGCACTATTCGCAAACAAGAGGGCCAGTCTTTACAAGAGTCGTGTCGAGAAGCTATATGTCGAAACCAGCAACTCAATGGAACGAATCCGCAGCACAGCAGAATCCTTATCAATGGCATATGATATGTACAACCTTTTGGTCATGTCACACGTTCACTAGCAAATCCTAGAGCTTCTACGACCAAAGACGAGAGGCATACCGATCGACCGCGTATTCATAGCGGGACTTCATCCGCAAAGGAACTAGGGGACTTTTTCGCGGATTTCAAACATCAAGTGGAAAAGGAGATCAGAGAAGCCCAGATCCAGGAAGAGGGTGAAAGGCATCACAGTATATCCGACGAAATGGAAAACAAGATTGGTGGCTTGCAGAAGGAGCTACAAGTAAAGTATGAGCATGTCCACCAGCAACTAAGAGAGCAAGATGAGAATATCAAGGTTCTATCGGAAAAAATCGAGTCCATATCCTCCTTGATGACAAAGATACATGAGCTGCTTCTAAAAAATGGAGAGAAAGAAACACGTCCTTTTGATAAAGGCTGCGATGAAGCAGTGAGCATCAGTGAAGGAGGTTCATCGAAGGATGAAAAACGAGAGCACAAGAGACGAAAACAATATCCGATGTTCCCGAAGAGGACATGCTAGATTTGGATTACGACTACGAATCTATTTCTGACCAGAGCGATTTGAAAACAGACACCACTGAACCACCGGAATCACTCGAAAAGGAAAAGGCTAACCCAAATCAATATCCAGGAGAGCAAGAGCGACGCAAATTGGAAGACCGTATAGAGGACATCAACGAATTTCTGAGAGATAAAAGACATGTTCCAGAACGTCGAATACGAAAGTTTGATAATATGCGATTTGAAGAACGATATTTAATATGCTCGTTTTGCTTTGCAAAAGGCCAACACTACTCGGATAGCTGTCCAAAATTTTCGAGTACAGAAATGAGGAAAATGAGAGCACGATGTTGGTCATGCCTGGATAGCCGCCATGATACGACCAATTGCTGGAATGAGAGCAAAAAATGTTACTATTGTGGATCGAAGAAACACAATAAAGCATTATGCACACTTCCAGAAGAGATCCACGACTACTATAAAGAGCTTGAAGAACTGCATCGTGAGCTTGAATCATTCGAGGATTTTTACGGACCCTCCACAACATCATCAAAGTCTTCAGATAGGGGGGAGTGTCACAGAGGTGACTAGAAAGATTCGGCGAGCATTGTTTGATTTTGCTTTATAATGACGTTATTATTGTTTGTTTTTTTTAGCAAATTAATGTCGATATAAAGGTTATCGGATTGAAAAGGAAGCATGAACAGAAACCTGCAAGAACATGTTCAAGGTCGAGATAAAGAAAGGCAATCTTATCAAGCAGAAGCTCCAGCACTGATACGATAAGATAACAATTGATAAGATTACACTTCATATATAAGGCTCCTTTAGTAAGAATAAACACTTTTATCGGCTATATCCTTCCGACCGGAACAGCCTTTTTATTATTACACATTTCTGAATCATAGCTTGACTTTCTTCATTCGCTGGTGTTTTCACAATCCATTGATTTTCTAGAATGATTCTGCCCCTTCATAATGTTCGGCCATTTTCTTGACGGGAGTTTGTTGACTCTCACCAGTTATGGCTTCAGAACCTGGTCGTTCACCGGCAAAGGCGCAGTTCGGCTGGGCGGCGAGGTGGGGGAGGGGCATTTTGCGTTTCTGCTGCTTCCACTTACCAAATTTTTGGTAATTTTTGGTGAAGCATTTGCTCCGAACCCGGAGGGAAATGGGTAGACAACCCTGATCAGCTGTCAGAAACGGTAAAAGGGGGAGTCAATAAATGGAAAAAATACCATAAGAATTCTGATTGATGGGCAAAAGTGTTGACCCCAGACGAGACTTGAAACCCCTCGCGCTTTCCTTGTGAGTGAGCCATCCACTGCGCCGCCAGGATCCCTCTTTTCCCCTCTCGATTGGATTGAAATCGCCCCTTCTTCAGATGGGGCCCCTTCTCCTCCGACCCCCCCCCTCTTCTTCCTGTGGTCAGCGATGTGTGCTGCCTTCGATTTCCAAAGCTCACAAAACCCGTTCTAACTGTTCTTTGTGCCCCGACATGTTCTTGTTCTTGACTACCCATGAATCCCCTAAAAGGGAACATAGCAGTTCCACTGTAATTATGATCACTATACCGGTCCAATCCAGTTCCACTGATTTCCTCTTTTGTCTTTTATTACAGCCATACCTAGAAGTCATAAAGGTTCTTTTACTGTTTTCGCCGGCTAATGAGGCGTCGACTCTTGTGCACAGCTCCTCGAGTGTTTTCTTTTTTGCTGTTTGGCAATGTAGATAAGACTGTTGTGATTTTGATGGACGCAAGCAGTGCTAGGTCGCACTTCTGATGTTGTAATGTGTGTCTGTTCTATACAGTAACTGCCAAAGATCAATGGTGATCGAGCTAGTGATCTTACCCTCACGTACAGGAATAGGATCCACCGGCGCTGTTTGCCAACGGGGGGCATTTTGGCACTTCAACGAGTTCCCATCGTACCCATCTAGATAGCCTCCTCTCGAGCTGACAGGTTTTACCATGATGGCTTGACGAGCTTGCTCCAGCTTCACAAGAGTTCACAGGTTTCACCAGAGTGAGACTTGTAAACCAGAACTAGTGAAGCAACGAAAGTGCAAAATGCCCCCCCCCCGTCGGCAAACTGCGCCGGATCCAAATCCATCCTCGCAATCACTGAATAAGGTATAGTAGTGTTCATACTTCGCGCCGAAACTCCTGATGAGTCGTGTTAACCATAGACGTCCTCAGTTCCTTATCTCCTCAACGTATATTGTTCAACTTTTTCTCAATTTTGAACTGATATTCTATATTTCCTGGGCCTTTTTGTGTTCGGTATCGCTAGACTATCCTACAAGATAACTCATTCTGGTTCTACTAGAAGAAATAAGCTACGTAGACGCCAGATATCCGAGTCTAAAAGCTAAAAAATGTGCGGGGATATCAGCCCTAGGTCCTGCCTTGCTCGCACCACATCTCCTCTCTTTGAGGATCAAGTTTCCAGTTTTTCTGCAGGCAACTCAACCCTCGCTTCAAGGGAGGACGTGGAGCGATCTAGGTGGGACCAATATTCGGTCCTTTTTCAATTTCTGAGCTCGTTTGTCTGCCTTTTAGTGTGAAGTGTTGCACTGTGAAAGACGCGGGCGGTGCGTGGCGGCTGTCTTACCTACACAGGGTTGTTGAACTTGGGGGGGGGGGGGGGGAAGGGCGGTCGTTTTGCTCGTCGTTGGGAGAGGGGGCGGGTCGTATTTGCCTTTGGGAGAAATTGGCAGCGTTAGGGAAAAATTCGTCCTGTTTGTTCACTTTTCGCGGTTTCCCTGTTTCACATGAGCTATACGTTCCCTTCCCCTAGTTGGTGGTGGCGCTTGCTGACACTCCCTCCCCCCCCCCCCTTCCTCCCTCCCTCCTCTCTTGACCAGAACTTTGGAGAGAAACTAAAAAATTCTCGGGAATTTCCGGAACCACTGGGAAAAGGGGAGAAAGTAGAGAAAATCTGGGAAAGTGATAGGTACGATGGGAAAGGGGAGTCGTATCAGAGGAAGGAATTTAGGGGGAATCGTATTTTCCGAAAAGCGGCAGGACGTGTCCTGACTGGACACATAATGTAGTTGCCTATCCTGTTCTCATTAGCCATCGTTTTTTAGTCAGAAATGAAGTGCTCGCTTATTGTTTCAGTCTTTTTCTACTAGAGTACGTCTGAAAAAGGTTACCCAGCTAGGAGGAATGGGAACGTTTTATTTTGCCCCTCCTTTCTGTCCACAGTCCGTAATAGTCCATAGTTTCTCACCCACTTGAAGACCGCGTAATACAATTTTTGGGCGCAGTTCGATCTGATGGATCATTTTTTCTGGTTCTCATCGATCAGTGCCGATGCTTTCCGTGTGAACCTGCACATTCCTGTGAAGCTCTACAGTAGCAGGATCTCCGTTTACCTTGACAAGAGTTTACAGGTCTCGCCAGGGTGAGACGTGTAATTTTACAGGTACTAACAAAACGTATTAGCGAAAGTGCGAAATGCCCTCCCAAGGCAAATAGCCCCTTTTCGGAATATCTGTGAAAGTGCTTAGCAGATATCCACAAGTTTCCGACGTTATAGCGCCGTAAATCTCTATAGATCTGATTTACGATGGGAAAACTGAGCACCGTGGGACAACTGTTGGACCACGGTCAACACCGGCGGTCGCGACATTCAGTGCATTTTTTGGCGAGGTTTCAAGTTTCAAAAATTACTTGTTAGTTTCATAGAGGCGATTATTTTCTTGGAAATCTCTTAGGTATCTTTTTTTATCAAAAATTATGGACCTTGAATATCGTGTACGGAATTTCTTTCAGTTTTTTCTTTATTCTGTGTCTTTTTGCTAGTCATTGGTTTTTACCCTTTTTTTTTTCTTCTGTTCTTGTTCTACATGGTTTTTCTTAAGGTCCTCTCTATCTTTCATGGGCTATAAACAGGGGAGAGAGCCTGCTTATATGCTGGTTATATTATGCTAGAAGCAAGCTCATTACAGAATTCTCTGTTAATTTTTGACAAGACTCTAAAATGCATGTGGTTTCCGAACAAATCTCCTTTCTTTGTCGCTTATCGATTTCAAACATGTACAGCGAAGTTTGATGGATTGCATAGCGATGATAGGCTCTTCATGGCATTGTCCCCCCACCTTGCGTTGCACTTTTGGATAAACGTTCTCTGTGGCACGCGGCAAATGTTCATAAATGGCACGTATTGTTAGGTGGCCGTTCCACGATGGGGTTGGAAAAGGATTCCAACCAAAATGAAGCCGAAAGACCGTTGCTTCTTTTGCTGAAAGGACGTGTCTACGATGTTGCTCAATTCGCTCCCAAACATCCAGGAGGTGAAAAGGTGTGCTTTTTATTAGTATTTGGATTCTCACTTGAAATACCTGTCCAGGGATTAGTATGGAATTTCAAAACATTTAGGCTGCGTTCATACTTTGCTTCAGCGTTTGAGCGTTCCGGACTACTAAGAAAATGTCGGTATTGAGCATTTCGAGCGCACGTCGGCGTTTTCAGCGATTGTCCACCAAAAGCCCAATACTTCCCCGAAAACGCTCAAACGGCGTACGCTAGAAACGCTTGATCGATATTACACATTCCTGGTCGCTGAAAATGCTCAAAGCGCGAAACGGGAAGTATGAACGCAGCCTTAAAGCGTGGCGTTGCGTGCTAACCAGTTAATTGCATAGCCTAGTTGACTAGTCACAGCATTTTGTGATTGTGTAAGTCGATTGTGTTATGGTAACCTACCTCCTTTACCTATTTGACGGCACTAAAGTAATTTCGAGGACAGGTAGTGGCAAGGGACCATTCAGCGGTGTCTTTCGGTTCCTTCATCTAACCAAGGCTTAGGCCTATTTGAGCCTATGTACTCTCCGCGAGACTTTCTCGGCGACTCTGGCCGTCTCACCCCCAGGTTTATGGGAAGGGACGTGGAGGATGGGCTGAGTGGTACCCCTCCCAAACATATATTGGCACCTATTTGACATGTAAGCTGCCATTAGACATTCGATTTGAAGCTGAAGTGCTATGTCTGTTCAACCGCCTGGAAATGTTGAGCTGAGTGCGATGGAGCGCTTCGAATGTCCTGAACTGCACCTGAGAATTGCGCAAGCATTTTCACGATGATGAGTTGAGAGAGGGAGGGCACACCACAGCGCCTGTGTCTCCTCCAGCGCGAATTCGAAGTCGTCGCAGGCTGCTTTCGCGAAGGGAAACTCTTCGCGTCATTGCCCAGCATGTAAGCCTGAGCTTTGGTCAAGGAATACAGAAGTAGTGTGAAGTTGTGCACCCCAGCACTCCCCACCCATGCCGCCGGCCATTAGACTTTTTTATACGCCAGTGAATGGTCTACCCCCTTCCTAGCTCTTCTGGGCTAAGGCAAAGAGTTTCATTCCCTTGGTCAGAGTCGTTTTCTCGCATCTTTTTCCAACGAGTCCGTCGAACAAAAAAAAAAGACGGAGGGATGCATGAAAACGGGACGCATCAAAAAAAATTGCAAAGTTGCAATTACCGTAATACAGCGAACAATTGCACCAAATTTCCTGGTATTTTACATCCGCGCCCTTTCAAATTTCACTTAGTACTTGGTGAAAGCCACTATACGATTCCTTTCTCACTTTTTCAAA